CCAGCCTTAGGTAACTCATCTTCCTTAACGGCAGCAATTTAAAAGGACCTTTGGCTTTTCTGAACCTAGTAGTCATGTGCCACCCTGTCACTGAGCTTAGCAACCTTAGCCTTGATTGTCACTTTTTAGGAAAATAATTGCTAATTTTAACAACCTCTGGCTTATAGTTGTAACTTCAAATGCCTTCAGAGATCAGACAGGTGAGGTAAATAGAGAGAATGGTGAGCTGGACCTCACCAGACTCACTATAAGCCCCATATAAATATATTTATGTTCAAATACTTAAAACACTGTGTGGTTCAAATAAAATTCATGGGCCAAATTTACCTCCTGAACAGTCAACTAGCAACCCAGCTTGCTATTGGTTTATATTACATATGGGTCTAGATTATAAGGCTCTTAAAATTCAATTTTCATTCAATTACTTGAACCAGATAAAAATGCTTCTTGACAGCAAATTTTCCTATCTTTTTTTTATCAGAACATAAGACATTAATGGAGCTAATGTGAGGTATCTAGTGGACTCAAGTGGTGTTTTTAAAAGAAGCTTATCAATGCCGGTAGATTCCTGCCTCAGTGTGTGTCTTATGGTAAGTGAAACAGGCTCGTGTTACTTTCTATGAACCACAGAACAAAGCATGCCAAACTCCTTAGAAACACAAGGACTCCAAAGGTATTACAGCACAGATGGGAAAACTCAAATGCCTAGCCTTGACAGTCTTTGGTTTAACTACTTGACCTGATTCTCTTCACAGACTAAAAAGGAAATTCAATTCTATTTGAGAAAACTGACAAGACATTCTTTTCCTTGGAGAAAATGGACTGGGACAAATTACACACAAAAAGCTAAAATCTCCAGCACCAGTGGTTGAAAAACAATCGAGCCTGTATTAGCAGTTCCTTTGCCCACAGAATGCTCTCTGAGGAACTACGGGGTTTGGAAAAAGTGCAGGCCTCTATTCTTCATCCACGACACATCAAAGTTGTAATAAAAACCTGCTTTTCTTTGTGCAACTAAGCTACTGCTATTTCACACCCACATATTGCTGGAGCTGATTCAATTACCCTCAGTGACTTTGTTTAAAATGAAAATGCTTTGCCTCCTAAGGCCAGTGTGAGAGGACTGATTAATGTTGCTCCCTGAACAACAGAAGTGTAGGTACACAGACAAAAACCTAAAGAGCTGGAAACTACTGCTGGGCCATGTTTCACAAGCAATTCAAATCTACCTTCAAGTATTTTGTAAAGCGTAAGGACTCCTAAGGCAGTTGGATATATCAGGGGGCATCCTATGCCATTTTTCCTCTTTCTTCTTGATGACAATCACAGAATTAGAAAATTAAGAGGATGACAAGAAGTGAGAAAGAAAAACTAAATTTTGCCATATGGTTTTTCAGGAGACGAGGAAACAGTTCTTTTTTTTTCCTCCCCGCCCGACACATGGTTCCAAAAGATCTGTAACTAACGAACCAAGCCAGCACATTGCTGGGTTCTGGAGCTCTGTGACTCAGAAGTCACTTTTCTATCCAACATATTAAATGTCAAGTAAAATACATCCGATAAGAGAGATGAAATTTTTTCGGGAAGCTTGGCCACTGAGTGAGTGTCTCTCCTTTGCAAATGAGCCCTGTATGTTGCATCTGGTTTTTAGTCAGATTGCCAACCTATAAGAGATAAAACATCCACCCAAGAGCTGCATTAAAAAGCATAAATCATGGAGACCATATCTAGTCCTCTATAAATCCCTTCAAAAAGAACTTTATCCATAATAATAAAGGTCTGTTTCATTTAAGAAAGAAAAAAACCCAAACAGAAACACATGCAGATAGAAAACAGAGAGAAGATGAAAGAATCACAGTGATATTTTTATGCATGCATAGTATGCGAAATTTGGAGACGAAGAGTCCCGACAGAATGCTTGAAGAATCTGTAATACACAAGAATATATAGGTTCCAGGGTGTGCATAATCAGAAAGGGCAGTATTTATCCATCATCTGTCATCGGCTCTCATTTCGCAAAGCTTGAAGATTAGAACCCCTGATGTCAAAAGAACTGAAAATATTTAGAGCTAGTTCTTGCATGGCTCCGTGAAGAAGGGGATGAGGGAAGAAAGAATTATATTAGGACTACACTTCACTACTCTTTTTTATAGTAGATTGTTTTCTTTAAGAGGAGCATAAGCTATGATTAAAGTGGCAGAATTTTGGTGCCTCTAACACCTGGTATGGAAGCAGAGTAACAAGAAATACTTGGCAACCCGATTATTTCATGCAGGTTTTCATCTACCCAGAAAGTTGTCCTCAAAATAGAATGGAACTTTTTCTCCTTTATCAATCTGGGAGGTGCCTGGGGCAAAGTAACCAAGAACCTAAGAGTGTTGTTGATCTGTATTCTCAACAAACAAAATCTAAATACACTATGATCCAAGGAGTTTAACAAATAGCTTCCTAATTTTATTCAATTACTTAATGGTATATTCAGCTTATATTACACTGCTGTCTTGATGTGAGGCTGAAAAGAAACAAGATTTGTCCCTAGAGAGACATGGGGTTATTGAGCTCTGTTCCCAGAAGTGGGAGGATGGATTAGATAACTGATCTTTCTATAGTTTTAAGGAATATTTTAATTCAACTGTGAAATAATGGGAGAATAAAACAAATTCAAGATCATCACTATCTAGGGATTTGGGGAGGTTAGATGTATATCCTGAAAATAATAGCTAGGGAGAAGGAAATCTAAGAAAATTTTTACCTTAGGATGCTAAAAACTTAATATTTTAGAAATAGCAAAAGGCTCATTTATTTCTTATAAATTTTTAACCAAAGACATTTACTGTTACTGAATAGGCTGAAATAGTAAGATTTTTATACTTTCACATATTGGGGTCTCAGGAGTAAACATTTACTAGGGATCACTATGGGAAATGCAATCCTTCCCATCAAGAACAACTGTGGAGACAAAACATTCCATCCAAAATGGATTATCAGGACTCAACTTGTACAAAGCAATGCACAAATCAGACTCTTTCTGTTGTCATTCCAAGTGGGGGAGGGGTCAGCATGAAGCAGGGTTGCTATGGGAAGGTTTCTGCGCTATGAACCTTGACTTGAGGAATGTCCAAGGATGAAAAGGTCAGGAGTCATAAGAAAGGGGGATGGGGCCTTGCAGGTAGAGGAGTCAGCATAAGCCACCTTTGTAGGTTACAGTGAATGACATTTGGAGACTGGCTGAGGCTAAAAAGCTGGGGCAGACTGTAGAAAGCAAAGCTACCATTATTGAGATATTGGCATAAACATGCCAGGCACAAAGCTAAACATTTCCTTTACTTTTTTCCCTAATTTAATTTTAATAAAACTGAGCCCCAGGCCACAGGCTCAGATTGCTTCTCTTTGTTAGCCACACTCACTTCCTAGATGACCACATACAATCTCTCAGTTTTAGTGCCACTTGTACTTGGATGACTCTCAAATCACCACCTTTAGCCTGGACATTTCCTCCAAGCTCTGGACTTACGCGTCCGGCTGCCTATTTGACATTTTCACATGTATGCCTGAAGGGTATCTTAAGCTTAACGTGCCTAAAACCTAATTCCTGCTTTCCATCTATCCCCCAAACAAAACAAACAAGAGAGAAATAACTGCTCCTCCTCATCCACCTTCCAAACACATCCAGAAACCAACCACTTCTCACCACCTCCACACCTACCACAGCGAGCCACCCCCATCTCCATCCTGAATCACTGGGGCAGCCTCCAAGCTCCTAGTGAGGATGGGTGTGAACCTCCCCTCCAGAGCCCCACTGAGTCTACGCATTCCAAACCTGTCCTTTGTAGGACAGGCTCCAGCCATCAGTACTGTTGTCTGAGGTAGAGACAAAGAGTTAAGAGTAATTCTTTGACAGGTGACAGCAGAAACAACAGATGCTGAGTGAATCTAAAAGGAAAACTGCAGGGTGGGGTTGAGGGTGTCAAGGATGGGATATTTGAGGACATCCACAGGGGAATAAAAGAAGTCCCACTCTTAAGAAACATCACACTGTTGGCTAGGCACATGGCTCACACCTGTAATCCCAACACTTTGGGGGGTTGAGGCGGGTGGGTCACTTGAGGTTAGGAGTTCGATATCAGCCTGGCCAACATGGTGAAACCCTATCTCTACCAAAAATACAAAAATTAGCCGGCGTGGTGGTGCATGCCTGTAATCCCAGCTACCCGGTAGGGTGAGTCAGAAGAATCATTTGAACCCGGGAGGCAGAGGTTGCAGTGAGCCAAGATCAAGCCACTGTACTCCAGCCTGGGCGACAGAGCAAGACTTCGGCTCAAAAAAGAAAAAAAAAGAAACATCACATTGTAGGTCAAATGTCCCCCGCCTTGAGCAGCCTTTCTTGACTCCCCAGGCAGAGCTGAAGGCTCAATTACAGGCTTGGAAATCACCGGATGCCTGTGCTAAGAGCCTCCTCCACGAGAATCTGAACTCGTTTTGTGCCTCCAGCACCTGATGCCTACCTGGTAAGCCCTTGGCAAAACTGTGCTGAATGTTTAACATGGTGTCACGGACAGTGAGTTAGGAACTTGGAGAGGAAGTGGCTGCTTTCTTCTGGAAGAGCTCATTAAGACTTTACACAGGAGGTGAGGTTTGCAAGATAGAAAAAGGTATTTCAGTTTATCCAGGAAGTTAGCACTGATGGCCCAGCAAGGAACAGCAGTGGTGTGGAAAGACGGAGGGCGAGGCCCGAAGGAAGCGAGGAAGGGAAGCCGCGGCAGCAGTGCTGGGCTGTGGTCCTGAAAAGTAGGCTAGCACTGGGCAGCCGAAGACAGCAGCGAGGCAAAGAAAGAGTTGTTCCCTCCCCTCCAGGACCGGTGGTGGGAAGCAAGGTGGAGGTGGGGAGGATGTCTAAAAGAAAGGACGAATAGCCAGGCAACGGAAAGTAGTTGCTTTGGAGAACGTGGTTGAGGCTGGAAGCAGGAGTTGATGGGCAAAGGGATGAGGAGAGCTCATACCTGCGGTTCTTTTCATTTCCTCGTATGACGCAAATTACCGAGCTCCAAAAAGGAGATGAGCCCAAAACCTTAACAATCAGAGGCTAAAACTGGACTAATCAAGTAGGTGTGAGCCAATAAGTTAATGAGGTAGGAGGCACAACACGGTCGAGAACGATAAGACAAACCCAGGTTTTTACTTGAGTCCTCGAGGATCCAATTAACTTCTCATTAAGTGGGGCTGGGTGCTCGGCTTCTCACCGGGCGCCAGCCTCCAAGCCCCCAGCCAACGCCTGGAATGGGACTCCAGGGAAATTCGGCCAGCTGGTGGATCTTCAGCGAGATGACGGCAGTGGCGTGGACAGGCCATTCACGGCGATACCCACCCAGCTCTGTCCAGGCCTCGAGCGGAAGGCTGGGAGCAGCACAGCACACGAATGGCAGCCGCAACGCCTTCCTTTCCCTTTCCGTGCCTATCATGCAAGCCCTCCCCTACTAAAATGTACCCTCCGTGAGAATAAGGCTCCGTCCTTCTTCGCCGGAAGCGCGGAGCCTAGAACGGCGCCTGGCCACGGCGACGCCCAACAAATACTGGCTGAATAGTGAATGAACTCCGCTCGGCCGCACTTCAGTCTATCTGGGCACTGAAGGATGCGACCCGTGGAGCCGCCTAAGAGAGCACAGGGGGAAGAGAAGAAGCGGAAGCCTTTTCTTCCGCGGAGGTCCCCGCAGGACGACCTGCGGGACCCGAGCGCCGGGCTCCGTAGCGGGGTCGGGAGGGGGATTCTGGTCCCAGGCCCAAGACCGATGGCTTTACAACTGACCTTCCGGCGGGGGCGCCCGCGCAG